CGCTCATCTGAGCTGACTACAATAATCTATTTCAGCCGCCAAGGATTAAATTATGTCGGCAGGCTGTCAGGAAGCAAATTTACAGACTTGATTTTCTGTGTCCATGGTTTAATGATTTAAGGGGAAATCTTTCAGTAGCAGCAGTATCAATGAGACTGAGATTTAAAGGAAAAGAGGGACTGTTGACTCCGGAGAGGCTTACAGGGTATATAGTTTTAAATGTATTTGGATATGTGCTGGTGGAGCCTTTCCCCTCTAGACTGCAGGTTTGAATTCAAGCCTGGTGACTGAAAACTGTTGTATCAATTGTGTGCTGATCAGTGAGCTCTATAAAAATTACCCAGTTGTCAGTTCTTTTCCTAGTGGACAGAGGTTCCGGTCACAAAACCACCACAATTGGCATTAATTGGCAATCTTGTTGGCAGTCTCTGCAAAGAGCCCAAAAGGACTGACTGTGCCATACACAGCACCTCTCTTACCCTTTCAGATGATGCCTCCAAGTCAAGTCTGAAAAACCTGGACAGGGCAAAGTACAAAGCGTCATGCTACTGCTGCCTGGGCCATGCCTTTTGACGACTAGAGAAATAAAGGGACAGATTCTCTAACTTCACTATATGGGAACATTTTTTTCTTACTTTCATTTTAATGTATCATTGAATTAGGTACTTTTGGTTGTGACCAGTGTTCCTTGTAAACTGAGTGCCTGGGCAGCCACCCAGGAGAGATTCAAATGCCGCCCAGCTAATAAGCAGAGGGCCAACAGCAGGCAACATCTACACATGTGTATTCCGCACATGGATGGAAAAAATTAGAGGTAACACTGGTTGTGACCAGACTAACACCTCTGAGACCTGCACGAAGTAGTGTAAATTGAATAGTTCCTGTGTAGTCACTGGGATTATATTACTCTTCACAAGTTGAGAATCTTACTAAATATTTTTAGTGTCTCAAACAATGGTTTGAGCAGCATAAAGGCGTTTCAGAGCTTGATTAGCAGAAACAACTTGGTTTATGCCTGTTAGAATCCTAAAGCTCCAGATACTTTTAACTGTTAGATTCCTTAATGAGGCAGATGTAAAAAACTTTTAAGTATTTGTATTCATTGAAGCATTACACTGAGTGAGATCTTGCAATTGAACGTCTGCACGAGCCAGGGAAGAAAAACTGTTAATGTATGGATCATGATCAGATATAAAATTTCAACATAAAACTAAATCTAGCAAGCATTTTAATAGTCATTTGCTTCCAGTTCCTCCTAACTCAAGTATGGTTATCTGATCAAGATACAATTTTAAAGTAACACTACAGTTAGTGTCTGTCAGTGTTTACACTTCTAGACACTGGTCCAAAATAATCTATTTTTAGGGTAAGACCTAATCAATGAGCTTTCTAAAATGGGAACAATTCTGCCTTTAAAATTTCTCAATATGTGTATGAAGAAGGGAAAACAAGTTTATATTGACTCTTGACCTGCTTTTGGTCTTCTTGTCAAAAGGACCACACTGAAATAAAAGAGTTGGCACACATTTAGTCCTCAATCTTTACTAACGCTTCTATGTTAAAAAAAATTTGATTTTACAAGCGAAGTTGTAAAGAGAAGCTACTATGTATGCACATCAACAAGCATTTTTATACCTCATACTTGAGATTATCAGTAACTGGGGGGGAAGGGGCCCCAAGATTTAGGAGACCCCAAAGGAACAACGGGCTCTGAAATGGCAATTACCACAAATCTATTTTTAGCTTAGAGTCACCTTTGATATTAAAATTATACAAAAAGTTACAAATCACAACTGAGATTAGTGCCTTTTGCAAATTCATTCCAGGTTAGCAGTGACCTTGGCATTGGAAGGCTGTTTGGTGGCCTGAAATGGGCTCAACTGTCTTTCCAATTTTCAAGGTTCAAGGGGTTAAGTTCACATCATAAAAACCTTCACCACCTAATTGGAACCCTTGTTGGTAACAGCAGAGAAACAAAGATGTGAGCCAATATCGAGCCTGTTAATCCACAGAATAAACATAGGATGTGTCGAGACTGTATTACTCTCCAGTGATGTCAAGCCAACAAGATTCCCAAACATTAGAATTCACAAACCTGGCCTTCCATCCCAGACAGTTGATTGAATTTCCTTCTTGTACCCCCTAGTTCAATCATTTGAAGTTAAACCTGGAATTTAAAGTTTCAGAAGTGCATAGGAAATAATCTTAAAGTACTTAATTCAGTGTGTCAGAAAAAGTGCAGTGCATTGCACACTTATCTACAAGCAGAGAAGCAACTTCCAGTCTAAGGGGATACTATAGCTTTAAACTTTGTATTTTTCAGGAAAAACAAACATTTCTGGACTAGAAACAAATCACACACATCCCCACAGGTTCAAAATATGCCAAGATAATATTTATTAACACAGCAGGACTTACAGATCACAAAAGATAGTGCTACATAAGAGCTCTTAAAGGAGTCATTAGAATAAAGCATGCAGGTCAATATTTGCAGAAGAGATATCAAAGCAGATTCGAGAAGGCACATTCACACAGGAAATGTTTAGTTGAAATAAGACATTAGAAAAGCAGCAAAAAATATGATGTGGATCAAAATACACAGATTTCCAATAATGCTGAAGAAAAGATACTGTACAGGTTTGCAAGGGCAGCAAATTGGATAACCCTTTGAGGATATTAAGAGCTCAGGCAAGCTCTTGCTGCAACACTGTCAACTGAACTTGAAACAAATCAGATGCACATACCGTGACTAAACACTAACTAAAATGCTTTAGTGTTGGAGAAAAGGTTAAATTTGGTATAAAAGAAGGTGCCTGGTTGAAATTAACAACATGCAGCAAGTGCTCAAAGGGTTATACTGAATATATGCAAGAGAAATGCAACATTAGTATAGTCTACCTTCCACACCAAGAATTATAGCAAAGTTTAAAGAGACAGTATCCCCTTTAGAGACAGTTCAGAAAGTTATTTCCTCACACCCCAAAAACTAAAGCAATTCAAATAGAAAGTGAGTGGAACATCCACCCTTCCCTGTATCCTCAATCAATTTGTATCATACGAACAAGTGGACAAGGAATGAAAACCCTTGTATTGCTGTGTTAGAATTAGAAAAGTCAAATAAAATACTTTACAGAGCCCTGCTCCCTGCTATTCCTTCATTTAAGACATGTACACAGTCTGGGCACACAACAAAAATAGTTCCCAATGGCTAATCAGCCATCTCTGTAACAAGGACTACAAAGGGATACTGTCCCTTTCTGACATTAAATATACAGATCAAAGGAAGTGAAAAAAAATCTGCTTTTAAAATTAAGAAAATTGAAAAAAAGTGACTTCAACATCACTGATTCATAGCTTGAAATGTATCGAACATACATAAAGAAACATATGAGCACAAAGGGTTATTTTAACAAATATAGTTCAGAGCAAAGTTGATTACGAGAGTAAAACAGGAAGGAGGTAGAGTAAAACTCTCCCTGTGAAAATATCTAATTTGGCACCATGAAAGAATACAGACTTTGTTTAAAGTTTCAGAAAAATAGCTTCTAATTAATACTTCAAAATTCAATTTTTAGCATCAAGCACATGATGAGCTAATCTTTTAAAACAAAATAAGAAACCCCCCCAAAACCCTTTCTTGCCACAAACTGCAGTTATCAATTACTGGTTGCTGTGGCCAATGAAGCTCAGATGTATAAGAGGAGCTACATAAAATCAAGCTATCACCAAAAGAGGCTAGAAAAATATTAGGAAAAAGTGCTTTCAAACCCAAAGTCAACACTCAACACACTATAGGTGCTACCTTTTTGACAGCCCATTGAACTTGGAATTTTACCAAGCTATAATATGAAAATTAAACCTCTTTGTTAATAAAATTATTCCTGAAATTATGTACCCTGTTAAAGAGTATCTTCCTTGCCTAAGCTGCCAACTTAATTTTTCCCTTACTTAAAAATATCATATAATGCAAAATTACAGTACTGTATATATTTTCTACCAGATCTGCAAAAATGGAAGAAATGTTTTATGTGGAAATAACCAATTCTTGCAGCAATAGCTTTTTACATTTACATTTGTGTGCCCCTCCATTAAAAAAAAAAAGCCTTTGACAGCATAATACTTGTGACTAGAATACAGTAATATTTCCCATATTTTAAAGGCCACAAAATGTTTAACTACATCTTGTTTCTCTATGTATATATACAAAGGAAAAAAAACCCAGGACACTTGGGAAATCTTTTTTTATGATATGCGATAAGATTGGAGATACTTCGCTCATACTCTCTTAGGAGTTCCTTCATTAAGAGAAATTTAAAAAGGATAGCGTAGTGAGGATAAAGAAAGAATAATCTGGCTTTAAGTTTAGTTCCAGAGGCTAGTGATTATCATGCTAGCATGTACAGGTTCTTCACATGATGACTTCCGGCAATGGTATTAACTCTAAAAACTAACTGTATTCTGGTTTAATACCTTCATTTCCAATACTGCAAAGCTCTGGCTAAGTAAATGCACCCCTGCTTTAAAGGGGAGAGATACGAGGGTCATTGGTTAGAAAGGTTTTCATTAACAGCACAAATCAGTGTTCTGCCTATGTTTTCAGAAGCACAGAGTGGGCCAAGTCCACCGGCCAAGTGCTTAGCTGAAACCAAAAGACTAAAGCGAGGCTTTCAATGCTACTGAGCTAGCTCATACAAATGGAACAACGTTGTTTGTGAGAAGAACTTCCATTTGGATACCTGCTAATGGGCATCAGTCATACAATGTGATCAAATCTCCAGAATACATTTGTAGTGATTTTAAACTGCTCCATCTATTTGTAGCTAGCTAAAACAATGAACGACAGCATTGCCCTACAAAGGGTCTGGTAGCTAGCAGGTACACAAGTTCAGAAGCCTTTCACAACTGAAAGACTAGTGCATAATACTGTAATTTAGCACACAGAGATAACAATCAAAATCTCCATCACCTACATTACCAGAGCAATCTAACCAATTCCTCACCTGCTGCCGGCGGATGCTGGCCACTAACTGTTGGCAAATCCAAAGAGCTATCAGACATGACATGCTTAAGATCTCCTCCCACATCGGCCAGTTTCATGTCAAACTGAACAGAGAGCGCATCTTCAGAATCCTCTTTGCCGACACTGCTGCCCCCGATGGAAGGGAGATCCAGAGACTTGACAGAGGCAGAGTCTTCTTTGGCATGCTTGAAAGCTGCCATCTTGTCTACCAGGGATTTATCTGCATTACTACACATGGCAGAAAACTTGTTAGAGTGGAAGTCAGAAAAGTCATCATCACTTTTCACTGAAGGGGTGCTGTCTTTCAGTTCCTCCACACCTGTTCCAGAGCCCTCCAGAGAAAGCTGTTTAAAGATATCATATTTGGTGGGAGCAGCAGCAGCAGAACTGTGCCCACTTTTCATTGCATTGAGAGAGGAGCCTGCTGGAGGAAGAGGACTGGCCTCTTGCTTAAGAGCATTGTATTTGTCATCCATTTTTTGTTCAGAAAAGCCACTGCTATTATTGAAAGCCATAAAATCTGCAAAGTCATCTTGTCCCCCGGCTGATACACAATTAGACAATCCCCCAAAAAGGTTGAATTCTCCAAAGTCATCAGCTATGCTCGAGTTTTTACTGGGGGCTAGTGGAGATGCAGTAGCAGACATTGGAGCTGGTGGTGCAGGGAACAAAGTTAGTTTTGATGAACTAAATGCAGCTGGAAATGAAAGTTGTTTGTTCTCCCCAGTGGAGGAAAAGAGATCTAGGTCTGCCAGATTGAGAGAGGTTTTTGCTTGTGTTTGTTGCTTTAACTGTGTAGGTAGAGAGGGTTTTTACTGGGGGCTAGTGGAGATGCAGTAGCAGACATTGGAGCTGGTGGTGCAGGGAACAAAGTTAGTTTTGATGAACTAAATGCAGCTGGAAATGAAAGTTGTTTGTTCTCCCCAGTGGAGGAAAAGAGATCTAGGTCTGCCAGATTGAGAGAGGTTTTTGCTTGTGTTTGTTGCTTTAACTGTGTAGGTAGAGAGGGGAAATGGGAGGGAGGGAAAGTTTTCTCTTTTGTAGGTGGATCTAGTGGTGAGATGCTGTCAGCGGTTTTAAAATCTGTGAAACCATCATCGGGTCCTGCCGATTTGAATTCTGCAAAGCTATCTCCTGAAGAGGAGAGAAAAAAAAAAGCAGAAGAATAAGTTGGATCTTGAAATGAGAAAGGTATGTTACATTCACACCATGCAAACAAATTATTTTGTGCAATGGCAAAATATTTTTATGCAAACTATTGAATATGTCAGCTCTATATTAAAACACAAAACTAGGCTTCTACGCAATTTTTGTGATGTCTCCAATTATGCCAATTATTGTTCCAAATAATTTACAGGTAGCCCATAAAGTGCCTTTAATCCCTAAAGTAGTCTCAAATGATATCAAACTCCGTTTAGAAAGAGTTCAATGGCAACATGTGCTTGTGAGGGACAAATTCAGGTGCTGTTCAGTACTATGTGTGTTTGGACACTGGACAGATCCTTTCCCCTTCCCACATACCTCATACTTGTCACTGTTAAGTATGAAATTTGGAATTTCACTTGGGCCAACAATTATATATGCCCTGTTATAGGTGCCAGGAATATGGTACTATGGCCAGAATGTTCTCTGACTTCTCTACCCCTCCCCCATAATGCCCCACTTCAAAGTGCTGTCAATTTCAAAGCTAGAGCAGCGGCATCGCAGGATGGCAGCCAGAGCCAAAATGACAGTAAGATTGTTAACAGGCTGAAAAGGGAGTAGAGAGGCAACCGATCAATTGCCAGAAGCACCTGGCTTGAGACAGTGGATAGTGACTTTTTAAAAAGCTATTTATTATGATGTCAAAAGAAGGCCTGAGGCCTAACAGGGCTGTACCAGAGTGTGGGTGATGAAAAACACAACTAACAAAGAAAAAAAGCACCAAAATGCCATCCAGCAAGGATGTCAGAGCCATCCCCTTAGCTAGTCATCTTGCATTATTTTAAACCCTCCTTTTAAAAGTCTACTCTTGTCTGTTTCTATTAAGTGCAGAGTCAAGCATTCAGAACTTTACAAACTTAATCTAGTCACCTTCACGACATTCTAACTTCTGTTAAGTTTGATAACTGCAACTCAAATATTGCACTTGAACCACCATCAGACTAAAACATACAGAGCTGGTTGACAACTTTTACCAAAAGCATCAACTGGGAACTTAAAAGTTCAGGAAATCTGAAACTGAAGGAGCTTGAGAACACAGATTACATGACCACAGTTTAAACCCTAAAGATGCACATTTCCCCTACAAATTGCAATTCAAAAGGTCTCTTTCATACACACTGTCTTTATTGAAGAGAAGTTTTTATCCAAACATTTTATAGCATATAAAATGCAGCTTAAACAGTGAGACAGTACATATTCCACAGTACATATCTGTTGTCTCACGGAAATGTGGAAATCAAGGTATAATTTGTTTTGTATTAAATTATTATGTTTAACCCATTCACCAGCATGATATATTTTCAGAGATACTACTTGTTAGAAAATATACCTCAACTACTTAAAAAAACAACAGATGTCCAGTACTGTATATACCCAGATTTCATTCAGTTCATATTTTAAAAATACACCACCAAGATTCATGTCACTTTCACAAATGTTATGATTAGCCATCACACCATTTGTTGACTTTTTAACTAATTTAAGCTATGGAAAGATTTGAGAGACCATTAGTTACAATTATAACAGATCAACATGGTCATCACTTGAAGGATGATGCGAGCTAAAAAATTGTTCTTCAATTCACCTGGTTCAGTAATAGGTTTTAAATACTGCTTACAAATAATAGAAAGAATTTGTGAAATTGACATTCATCAACCAAAATTAAAACATCACAGCAAACTAAACTTACTGATGAACTGTAAACTTTTCCATTAGAAATGTAAGCTGGTGAAAGGGTTAACAATGGTAAAAACTGGTCAGTTTAAAATCCAGAAGTAACTTCTCTCTTTTCTTGCAAGCAACAGACAGATGCAAGTCAAATGAAATACTCATAACAGTAATGAAAATGCTTGATATTGGAAAGGTGCTGAGCACACACTAACTCCATAGATCATCACAGGAGTTTCAGATGCTCAAGCCCTTCTTGTGTAACTTAGTAAAACTAAGGCATATGGGGCACAATTGTCTCTGTATATAGGTGAAGAGATTCTCAATAATTCCTTCTTATAAATACAGTGACACATACCGGCATGGTGGCAATGCAGCAGAACTTCCACCGCAGTTAAATTAGCAATACATTTATAGCTTATGTTCGATTTACTGATGATACACAAAGCCAATAAAGTTGCAGAGAGGAGCTCTTTCCCCTCAGATTAAAAGGTGACAATGTTTATAAAAGCTGAACCTCTGTAATCCGGGATTCTGTCATCCTTCAACATCTGTGGTCCAGCATTGGTGGCAACTCCATGGGTATCAACCCCTTCACTCCCCTACCTCTGTGCATGGGTGACCTCAGGCTTAGGAACTATTGCCCTGCCCTCCCAGAGCTTCTGGAGTGCTGAAAACCAGCTGATTTTTGACATTCAAGATCAGAAAGGGAGGGGGAGAAGCAAGGATAGGGTGCACCAGGAGGAGGAGGCAGCAGGGTGGGGAAAGAACAGTGGCAGGAGCTGGGACTCCAGCTGCAGAGGAACCAGCGACTGGGATCTGTTGATGTGAGATAAGACTCCCCGTGACAGCAGAGAGACCGACGACTGGGACCATGGACAGCAGTGGGACCCCCCTCATACCTCTACTTCTCATGCCTATGGAGACCCACTGGCACTCTGCATTGACCTCCCCTGGTTCAGAAACTTCTCTAGTTCGGCATGACTCTGATCCTGAGTGTACCAGACTATAGAGGTTCAACCTGTATTATGTAAATGTATGTTATATAGAGATGGCCTGTTCAGGAAATAGTTTAGGTAGTTTCCACTTACGGAAATTATGTAGAAATAGTATATCAAGGATAACTAACTGTTTTATATGTTTATTTTCACATATTCCCACAAATAAAATTGATTCATGACAAACTCTTGGCCAGTGATACTCAGGGCTCAGTGGTTCAGGAGCCAAATAAGTGATCAACATCTGACGAAAAGAACCACAATAGAGCGAATTCATTGTCCCATTTACCACAGTGTTATATTTTTGTATTTAACAATATTAAAGGGGAAATATTTAGGGTCTATAATCTATAAACACACACACACATTATATATTGATCTCATAGCAAAGTGACCAAGTATTATTTTATCAACTACAATTGGTTAATAACATAGTAAAAGCATCCTGACCAGTGGTTAATTAAATTACACAGTGGTTTAATATCACATGAGGCAAAGAGCCTCAGGAGACAGATTAAAGAGCGACTTTTGGCTCGCAAGCATTAGTCTGAGTATCACTACTCTGTTACTGTGATATTGCATATCAAAAGCAATACATGGCTGGACTTGTACCATAAAAACAGAAAGCATTTATAGCAACCACGATTTGCCTCTGAAATGCTGTACTGCACATCTTATACGGACATACAGCCCCTCACCTTTTATTTAAAGCAAGTCTACATGAGAGATGACAAAAACCTATCAAAAAGTGATTCCAAAATTGCACCCATATACACCTCTAAAGCAGGGATCAATAGTTCCATAAAAACACATGACATTGTGGACTGTGTGTCAAAGATAAATTTTAGCCCTTCGATACAACCGCATCTGCTCTAACCCCACTGACAGAGACCAGAAGCTTCAGGATCTCTACCAAGCATTTATAAATCTCAACTACCCACCCAGAGAAACAAAAAAGCAAATTGAAAGAGCCAGACGAATACCTAGAAACCATCTACTTCAAGACAGACCCAAGAAAACCAACAATAGAACACCACTTGTCATCACCTACAACCCCCAACTTAAACCTGTCCAACACATTATCAATAAACTACAGCCTATATTGGAACAGGATACCATACTCAAAGAGGCTCTGGGAGACAGACCCATAGTCTCCTATAGACAACCACCTAACCTCAAGATGATTCTTACCAACCACCACAGGACATACCACACTAATACCAACCCTGGTACCTTCCCTTGCAACAAACCCCGTTGCCAGCTTTGTCCACATATTCATTCTGCTGATACCATTATTGGACCTAACCAAGTGAGTTATAAGATCAAGAACACATATTCCTGCGCATCCAGAAATATAATCTACGCTATCATGTGCCGAAAGTGTCCGTCTGCTATGTACATTGGACAAACATCTCAGACACTTCGCCAAAGGATTAATGCCCACAAAACAGATATCAGACAAGATCACAAAGAGAAAACAGTTTCTTGCCACTTTAACCAGAAAGGACACTCTCTAAATGACTTAGCCACCTGCATTCTGCTACAAAGACCTTTTACATCTGCACTTGAAAGGGAATCCTCTGAACTGTCATTCATGTTAAAATTCGACACTTACCACCAGGGACTTAACAAGTCTTTGAACTTTCTCACCCATTATCAAGACAGTTTCCCCAATTATCACCTGTAATACCATTAACTCACAAACATCCCACTCTCCCTACCTCTAATATCATCAATTCACAGACACTTACCTTCCTTCCTCCCCCTTCCCACCCCCCCGCCTCCTCCTTCTGTTCTGCAATGTGATTTGTCCTTTTCATATTTGTTCTTTTTTTTAATTGTATCCTTTGGTATATATGGTTGTGACTACTTTCTTCCACTATTTGATCTGAGGAAGTGGGTCTGGCCCACGAAAGCTCATCATCTAATAAACCATCTTGTTAGTCTTTAAAGTGCTACATTGTCCTGCATTTTGCTTCAACTACCCCAGACTAACACGGCTACATTTCTATCACTAAATTTTAAGATGGTATTCTCAAGATACTTTTGGCTCATCTGAAGAGCTACAGGGACTTTATGCTAAAATCCTAGGAGAGGGAATTCTGCAGTTCATGCAGATCCCTAAAAGTATGCAATATTTTGAAAGAGCATAAAACAAAGCACAAAACCAACTTTGCAAGACCGAAAGCTTACCTAAGTATTTACTCTCCGATGGTTGTTCTAGCTCTCGGAAAGCACTGTATTTGTCTCCATAATCTATCGTGTATGAAATAAAAAAAAAGATGATTTCCATTAAAGTAGCATGAAATTAGGCTACAATCAGTTATGATACAGGTTAGAGTGGCACAGATGCCATCATATTGCACTCTAAACATTTCATATTGACATCTTACCATTGTGACAGGCTCTAGTTAAATATGAACTAAGTGTTAAATTACACAGTGTTAACAATTCAACAGTATATTTACCTCCAAACACAGCTGCACTTTCAGAAGGCTTATCAACTGCAATCCCTTTAAACACTGAATATTTATCTGTTGAGGAAGGAGTTTTAGTGCCAGGGAGTGGAATCAGCAGAGAAGGGACACTGAAAAAGCAAAGGGGGGGGAAGGGAGAAAGAAAAGCTCCTGAATTTCCCCATTAATAATATAATTTCTTCCATTATTTAAAGCAAATAGGATATTAGGAAGTGAAACAGTCTCTCATTAGTATCTGTCTAAATTGTGTGTATTCACACACAAACGTGCTCTATCAAATATAGGAGAAAGGACTCTGGCACTGCTAAGAGTTTTTAACAACCACTACATTTATAAAAGATCTGCAGCAACAATATCCTCATGTAAAATGAACAGGGTTTACACTAGCCACTATCTCATTAAAATTCTAATAATACAACTCTTGGCCAAAATAGTAATTCTCCACCCATGGAGAATAGAAATGTTTTAAGTGTATTGACTTTTAATTCTTACTTATGACGGAATATGGCTGTGAACTATTCCAAATATGCACTGCTGCAGGTTTTAAATCAGAAGAGAAAACAGACATATACATGAAAAACACTGTGGTTTCATTTGTCTTACTGTCTGAAGGCTGTTTAAGGACATGCCTTCTTGATGGGACTAGAAATGGGTAAGAATCACAGCCTGCCTGAGATTTTGCTCACTCTGTGCTTCCATTTCTTCTGCTTTTGATTACATTTTATTGCATATTTCAAAAATAATAAGACAAGAAATCCATTATTCCAATATGAGGAAAGGATAACATTTGAATATCTACACAGTGAGAAGCACCAAGTTCAGGTTGCCATATATTCAACAACATCAGGATTATGCCATAATTACATGAACAGACTCTTTTGCACATGAACATATTCTAGTTTGTATAGTAAACTGCTATAATACCCTCAGACTACGCTAGCAATTCTTGAAAGATTTTAAAACGTACTGAAAGAGCTTTTCTTTCTTCGCCCCTTATCAGACATTGGCAGCTCTGCAGGACAACATCCTTTACATATGAATGACTGCATTTTACATCTAGTTTGTGTCATTTAATACCATACACATTGAAAACGTGAATGAATTTCTATGGCGTTCTTTGGCCTGGAGCAAGAATCTTTCCAGAGCCATTTAAATCTCCTTATCAGCATCCTGCAAGCTACAGACAAACCCAACACTTGCAAGTGCATCTTAATGGTGGTCCGTGGGGCTTGCAGAAGAAGAGACAGAGTGACATTAAAAAAAAAAAAAAAAAGTCATTTATGGCGATATAATTTAATTTCACATCAGTACAAAACAGACTGTTCGATATTCAGTTTGACAAATAACAGTTCATCAGGTGTACACTACAGATGGCTTTTAAAAAAATGAAGCTCCATAAGCAATTAGACTATAGCTCATTGTAGCATTCTGTGCAAAACTGAATGCTTTTACAACTGAATAAAGAGAACTACTGTGGTGGAAAACACTGATTTCTCATGACCCTCCAACTTCAATTACGTAACTTTAAACAAAACGGTACTTACAAATTTGTAAACGCTTCTAAGACGACTTTCACTAACTGAATAATTTTATTAAATTGCAGAATGATTCCTAATACAAAATAAGGACTAAATAAGATATGGAGCATCTTCAAATTAATGTAGTGTTACTGATTTACACTAGCAAAATGAAAACCTTTTCATGAAAGACTGACTCAGACTCTAATTTGCCTGCTGCAGCTGAACCATTCATTCTACTATCTTCCTGCGATGTCATTGTCAAGGAAGCAACCAACAAACACCTTGGAAGTTTTTGTTCCATCCACATATCAGAACAACCAGTTCAATACATAGACAAAATGTTTTGTTCCTAAAATTGATTAACATTAGGCAGGTGTAAACAGCAAATTATTTTTCCTTGTATTGTATGATAAATCAAAATGTAGGGGACTGTCTGACCCCAGAACACAGAGGCAGAATTGTGTGAAAGAATTCAGAACCAAAAGCAGGAAGCTTTGTATGGTTACTTCTCAGCTCCACACTGGTAATCCAACTTTCACAATTAAATAAATAAGAGCCTCCAGAATACGAGAGGCACTGAGCAACCACAATGCCAGTAGACCTCTAAAATTTGAATGAAACAGACTTTAAAATGGGATTTCAAGGCAATCAATCACAACAACTCAAAGAGTTAGGTACTACATAAAAATTGGCCAAAATGGAAAGGATAAGAGGAGTTAAAAAAAATCCATCCACTGGAGAGCCACAGCCATTTAAAAGAAAATAGTTTGATGTGAGATGCACTATTCATTGGGTGCTTATGGCCAGATTAAAGGCAACTAAAGTCAATGGGAGGCTTTCCATGTACTTCAGGAGGTGCTGGATTGGATTCCTAACAAGGGCTGCTAATGCTAAGTGCAGTGTATCTGTCCCAAATCATTTTTCTGAGAGCACAGGAATGAGTGGGTTGCTATACATAAAGGTTTGAGCCAAAATGAATGGCATGAAAGAGCTCATGATTGTCAGCAACAGAACAAACACTTGAAAAAAACCTATTCTCATACATTTATATACAATTTATCACAGCACAATGAATGGAGTTCTAACGAATGGCCAGCCATCTACAGTACATTAAATGTCAGTTTGGACACGCTGCAATTAAAATTTCTGAAATGGCAGCTGAAAGAAACTGTGAGAGTCAAGATTAGGTGATGGTATGAAATTATGGGTTAGAAACTGACACCGAAAAGAAAACATTTAACTGCTTAAAGGAGGATATTTAAGTTATGGAAAAAAATTCAGAGATCTACCCCACCTGCTCCGCTGCTGAGAATTGGTGGCTTTAGAGGATCCAGATCCCTCTGCTTGGAAATCAGCAAAAGATTCGTCGAGTGAGCCAGACTTTGAAGCATCCTGAAAATCCTGGAAGTCATCTTCTTCTGGTTTTACTACCTGGATTGCATAAAATCATGAGACCCTCCCCTTTGAGACTAGAAAACACATTTCCTTGACATAAAAACTTATGGAATAGTTTTTGCCTATTTAGTACATTTCCCATGCACCTCACTTCAAAAGTATTTATATATAAATCAATAATTAAAAGGTAACAGAAGCCCTACAAAATGTTATTGAAACAAACAATTGAGACAGTAGGGGAACGGACTACACAAAACAAAAGATCTTTTGTCAATTTCTATAATTCTGTGATAAAGAGTGAATTTAGCGTTGGAATAAAGGTACGAGCTGAACTGTAACGAGCTTTATTCATTCATAAAACAAGCACAGCACCAGTATCTGCAGTAAAATCTGCCTTGTGCTGTCGGACAAACATCACTGAACATTGCTTTGGAAGATCCACAGCTGGACCCTCGATTATTTACTCTGCAAAGGCACTGAGCCTTCAGCAAAGGCACAGAAATGGCAGCAATAGTGCCGAGGGTTATTTTATTATGACAGGGTGGGACATCTGTCCTTGGAAAAATGGACTGAGGGAAGCAACGCATTTCACACAGGCCACTCGAGAGCCAAGCGTTAGACACACACCTATGTAAAGCCCTTTGAGAAAGTTACTAGAAGCGTTGAAATTTACTTCTCAGTTAAATGGTCTAGATTAGAAACACACAAGACCTCTGCATTTAGCAACAGAAATAATCATCAGGACTCTGGATCCAAGGAAATAATTGCGCATTAGAATCCACTTTGTAAGGAGTGATTGAAGAGTTTTTGATCCACAATTACCAGAGAGGACCCAGGATGTGTTGCAGCAGGGAGCTTAACAAATGTAGGTGCATCTTCATTAGAGAGTTCTCTCGCGGCTGCTTACAGCATGCCTCAATTCCTCTCTCAATTAAAGGAAAGATAAGACTCCACCAGGCTGTAAGAGTGGTGAGCAAGTGAAGAAAATAGAATAGCAGGAAGACCCTCTGTGAAAGCAGCAGAGCTCTCTCACCACAGCAGTAGAGCCCCATAGCATAAACGTCTCACCATTCAGGCAGCCGGCCTTGCTGGAGCCATAGATTTGAGCAAGTCTAGTTTAACAGAGAATGCTCCAGAATATCAAGTAAATACCCTGCTCTCAGCTATAGGTGCTGCTGTTGCTGATATCCTATGTGCCCTCCCCTTTACCGAGGAGAAAAGGGAAGAATACTCCAAAGTGATGCACAAGCATTTGGTGCCCAATTCATAGACAGACACAATTGTATATGGAAGGGGAAAACCTAATAGGAAGTGCCAGAAACAAGGAAAGAGCTGAGACTTATTACTGTAGTTCACAGTCTTGCTGAACATGGCAAATACAGAATGTTAGAAGAACTAATAAAAGCCAAGATTTTATTTATTTATTTGGTATAAGAGACCAATTTATCAGCACAGGCTCAGTTAAACCCAGATCTCACGCTAGCAAAATAATAGCAGCACAAGTGAAACTGCAACAATGCATAAAGAAACAGCAATGTGGCATTCTATAGCATGAGAAACCCCCATCTACTAGGAAGGAATATTGCACAGAAGGATCTGGGGGTCACAGTGGATCATAAGTTAAATGATTCAACAGTATAATGTTGCCAAAAAAGCAAACATCAGTCTGGAATGTATTTGCAGGAAAGTTGTAAATAAGACACAAAATGTAATTCTTCTGCGCTATTTTGTGCTGATTAGACCTTATCTAGTGTACTGTGTCCAGTTCTGGATGCCACATTTCAGAAAAGATGTGGACAAAAAAATGACAGTCTAGAAAACATGACCTATGAGGGAAGATAAACCCTGTTTTGTTAGTCTGGAAAAGAGAAGACAGAGAGGACATGATAGCAATTTTCAAGTACATAAAATGTTACAAGGAAAAGGGAGAGAATTGCTCTCCTAAACTGCTGAGGACAGGACAAGAAGCAATGGGCTTGAATTGCAACAAGGGCAATTTAGGTTGGACATTAGGAAAAACTTAGGTTGGACATTAGGAAAAACATCCTGTCAGGGTGGTTAAACACTGGAATCAATTGCCTAGGGAGGTTGTGGAATCTCCATCACTGGAAATTTCTAAGAGCAGATTAGACAAACACATGTCTGGAATGGTCTCGATAACTGCGTAGTCTTGCCATGAGTGCAGAGGACTGGAGTAGGTGATTTCTTGAGGTCCCTTCCAGACCTACATTTCTGTGATTCTGTGACTGCATCAGACAATACTGACACAGTAAAGAGAAAAGTTATAAATGGGAAAAGAACAGTCAAATGAGTCAAACATAAGAACAGTGCGCAAGTAGTAAGTGGGAGGTCAAAGAACATTAACAGAAGAGAAGCTAAGAAAAGGTGTGGCAAAACATCCAGTTACAGCAGGCAATGCCCAGCAAAAGAAGAATAATGTAGGAAGATGCCATAAAACAGAACATTTTGAAACAACAAATAGGTCATCAAGAGCAGCGAAAACAACCCAAGAAGGAGATTATCATCAGACGGCAAGGAGTCCATACTTTTAGGAACTATATTCTCAGTAAACCAGACAAAACTTTAGAAAACAAATTTGAATCTAACCAGTTGAAACCTTTAAAATGTATAATAGAGCAGCCATCACTCCAATCCCCAAAAAAGTTATAATCCGTTTTGAGATGGGGATTGGCAAAGACCAAATAAAATTCTACATGGGGGTAGTAATAATACACTGGATGTTTTCTTGGAAAGCTGGAGAAAGGATGGAAGGTTCTTCAACAAATAATAGCCATAATACAAGGACCAACAACTCTCTTATAAGGTTTGTCAGCAATAAAAGGATTACACCTAGTAGAAAATCTGAACTGAATTAATGACCAAATTCATCCACACATCTTCAGACTAGGACAGCTGTCAGATGAGTATAACATCAAACTAGTGTCATCAGCAACAACTTTTGCTGTCACAGCCCCATGTCCCAATCTTGTACCCTTCCCAGAGAAAGACAAAGAAGAATGAAAGAGACTGGAACATATGGGGGTTATTTCCCAGATAGACGAACTCACAGATTCTATAGCCCCTGGGGGCGGGGCGGGGCTGGCAGCCAGTGTGCTCCGGCCTCTCTCCTGAGGAGCCTCTTGCCACTTCGGGGTGCCAGGTGGGAGCTGGTCCACGAGGGGAGCCAGTTTAAAAACTAGCTCCCCTTGCAGACTGGCTGTATGTCTCCCTGCGCTGTTGCCTCTGATACAGAGGCAGTAGTGCAGAATGGCAGCAGCCCCTGTCCAGGAGGAGGTCTGAGCTCCCAGACCCGGTGTGAACCAGAACTGAGCTGGACTGCCAGCCTGCCTGGGTCCTAATACACTTTAAATGCAGAGCCGTGGCAGGGGTAGGTCCTGGACTTAGCAAAAGCCAGGACTGAGCTGGCCTGCTTGCCAGCCTGCTAAAAAATTTACTGGGGGCAGGAGAATGCGTATAGTCTATAGGTAAATTGACTAAACTATTACATCCCTAGTAGCAAAGCCCAATACAAAATCCAAACCTGTGTGGACTTTGCACTACTTGATAAAAGTGTGCTAAGAGAAAGATGGATGTTTCCTGCAGTTCACCAGCCATTAGCTCAATCAGAAGACAAAGTCTTCTCAAAGACAGACGCTACAGCAGGCTTCTGGGAAATCTCCCTTGCTAAAGAACGTATACCATTAATGACATTCATCCCCTCACCCCTATTTGGAAACTACTGTCTCAGTCATCTTCTGTTTGGCATAGAATCTCACCGAATGGGTCATGTTTGCCTGCCCTTCTTTGCTGGTATATGGTAGAGATAAAAATCAACACAAGTGACCACATGCAGTTTTCAGATGCTTCCCACAAACCAGCCTCACTCTGAATGAGAAATATGAGTTTGGAGAAGAGCACCTAAAACTTATACGACATACAAATAGTGAACAGAGAATTCAGAAAAACTAAAGGCATCCTGTCCTTAATGGTCACAATATACAGATGAGAGAGCCTTCCACAAAACATTTAATAAAACAGAAGAATGACTATCATCTTTACCTGATTTGGTGCAATATATGGTAGACATAGCTCCGGGCTACATCTACACTGCAAGGTTTTTATGCAAAACAGCTGTAAAACCTGGCACTCACAGTTATTATTTCTAAATAACCTGGCACTCACAGCAGCAGACAGTATCCAGTGCCCCAGCTGAGCAGTTGTCACAGTAAAAGAAAAGGATTTAGAGAGCGGACCAGAGTCTACATTGACCCTGATCTTGTAGTAATTCCAGCATCTGCTTGCCAAATTCAAGCAAATTAGAAATTAACTAACGGGTGAGTCTTTCCAGAAACGTACTCTACTCTGCCAAAGAGCATAGGTTGAAGAAGTCAACCTCCAATAGATTTATCACCACATTTGCAGGACCGACATTATCTTTACATGGCTGATGGCCTGATTCTGAACAGATAGTACATTCTGATGCTGTCAGTACTTCAGAAAGTGATGCCCTACAAACTTCATGTGACTCACCAAGATATAAACAAGTATAGGGCACAAGCACAATAATCCATATGGTGACCAGAGCTCAATAGGTAAATTCAGATCTTATTACAGGGCTGAGCAGGAAAAAAAATGGCAGGACCACTACTCCCTGACAGACCTCAGTATCAGGTAGTCGCTTATTTCTTTTTTAATACATTTACGTATTCAGTTACTTCTCCACATATACTGACTTGGCCAGACTTGCACAAACTTCACTGGCACAGGGATCCAGAAACTAAAGTCAATATTTGTAAAACCAAGAGTTCCTGAAGTCCTCTTACTTGCTAATGGGCCTCACATTACCTCTGAAGCATTCGTAACATTTGCGTAGGATTTTGACTCTGAACATCAGACTCAAAGTCTACATTATCCTGCAGAGCAATGGAAAGGTGGAGAGAGCAGTGCAGACTTTAAAAAAGATTTCTTTAAAAAAAAAAAAATCAGTGGCAATATATAAAACACTCCTGGCATTTCAGGAAGTGAGCTCTCTCCACAACGAACTCTATGCACAAACTCAACAAAAATGAGAAAATGGTCTGGAAAACCAACCAGATCCCTCAAAAAGCTAAGCATTAGAATATTCCACAAGGCTACTTAAAAGCAACTAACAGGGGACACAGTAGTATAAATTAGTTAAAGAAATGTGACGCGGTGTGCGTGTGTGTGTGTGTGTGTGTATAGAGAGAGAGAGAGAGAGAGAGAAAAATGGTTTACAATTTAAGTTTTTATCTTTTATTATAAAGAATGGGAGATGTGCAGTGATTATAGAGTTCCTCATTCTCCACGATTACCAGAGACGACCAAGATATGTGGCAATGAGGAGTTTAATGAATATAGGAACTTCTGGTTGGGAAGTACTGTAGTTCAGGGGTAGGCAAGATCCAGCCCATAGCCCAGATGTGGCCCACTAAGTCTTTCAATCTGACCTGTGGCCCACCCGACCAGGACCCTCAGGCATGGAGCAGCCCCAGACTGGCCAATAGGAGTCAAAAAATTGTGCCGTGGTGGGGGCAGCACACAAAGCCTCCCTCCATGTCCCCCACATGCACTGCAGAGAGACACATGGAGCAGCCAGCTGTTTTGATCAGCCTGGGGCTGCAGGCAGGGAGCCTGCCTGCAGTTCCTGCTGGACTACAAGCTGGGAGCTGTCTAGGAAAGCACCTCCTGTCCAGAGCCTGCATCTGGCAACTCGGCCCCTCCTGCACCCCAACTTCCTGTCCTAGGTCCCCACCCAAATCCTCTGCACCTTCCCCTCCTCCAGGTCACAACGCCCTTCCAGACCCTGCACCACCACCACCCCATTCTTCCCCCAGGCCAAAATCCTCTCCTGGACCCTGGACCTCAATCCCTTATTCCAGGTCACAACCCTCTCCTTCACCCAAACTCCCTCTCAGACCCCACTCTCTCTCCTGCACCACAGTTCCTAGCTTCCTTCTGCACCTAACCTGTGGTGCAGCCCCTCCACAGAAAAGTGCAGCCCTTGACCACTTACCAAAATCTTGAAGTGTCCCCCCATCAAAAATTATTGCCTGCCCCTGCTCTAACTGCTGCTTAACCATACCCCTGGGTTTATGTCCGCACACTATACTTTTTGCTACAGAACTAGGTTTTAGAACCCAATCTTGTTTAGAAAACAGTTTTGAGCCATTATTCTTGTGAAAAAGTGACGATAACCTTCCAAAAACAGGCAGTATAAATCAATGAATTGTCATATTTCTGAATCTGCAGAAAGCCAGAACACTAGTTCTGGGTAGAATAATCTGCCCCATTCTTCTCAATGGGGTTTTAAATCCTAAAACCCAAAAATGCAAATTTCTACTGTAAACTGTATTAATTTTCTCAAGACTGAGCATCACAAAATTCAGCTACTGTGCTTAAGTCACACTCCCCCAAATGATCTCCTACACCTTTCCAGCTGCAAAAATAATTCCCACTGCACCACATCAAAATCTCCAGCTTCATCCTGACAACCTTGATGATAGCGTTACACATTTTAACACCAAGTCTAGTTCACAGTAAATATGAAAACGTGAGGGGCAACATAACATTTGATTGTAAATTCAACATGTGTAACAATAGAAGGGATATCGAAGCAAGTGTATTATTCATTTTCACACTTAATTTAATTGATTGAAACTACCGCAGAATCTCAGGTCAGGAGAACCACATTTAACAGAGCTGCCAGCTAGTCTAAGTATAGCTTGCTGTTACCCTCTAACTCCCCATGGGAATTTGTTAGACACTAGAGTGGCCCAATACAGATTATTCTGATTAGAGCCTCCTTTGAGCAGTGAAGAAATGTGGAGTCTTTTGGTTTTATTACTTCTGAAGTCTGAAGACCAATTTATACCTTGGCTTCCATTTCTCTGCTATGCAATTCTATTACCTGTTCTGTTTTAAGTCTCTAAAATTATGACATTCTTGTTATAAAGATGAGCAGCTGCAGTTGAGACTACTTTTTCACTGGGAAAAAATGGACATATGTAGGCTGCATATTGTGATCCCTCAGTCATACTGACAAATGTCTAGCACAAATTTCACATGCGTCGCATAAAACCCATTGGTAAAAAGTCTGTGTTGTACAATGCTTGGAAGATGTAATGAACTCTCTCAATAGTCATATATTCACATTATTACTGGCTTTAAATCATACAGTATTCTTGCTTTTAGCTATAAACTAAATGGGAACTAACTGCAAGGATCCTGTTCTACACAGTGCCTTTCCAACAACACAAAAATAAAAAGCGTGTTTAGGATCTCACTAGACATGGGAGGTATTTGTTAATAAAGGACTTCACCCCAGACATTAATGTATTGATCTTAGCCAAGTCATCTTTGAATAGAGGAAAAATATTATGAAGGCAAAAAAATCCATCAGTATATGCTGCAAACCATCAAAAGGAATATGCTGTGGATATCGGGCAAATTAATTCTGAATTGCAAAATTGAGCACCAAGATCAATTTATGCTTCCAGAAAATAGGAGTATTAGCTGTATCATCTTTTCTATCACTGGTACATAGCTTTCAGTACACTCTGATGATTTCATGTCCGTTTTACTAGCCAGATAACAAAAGTCTTGCTTAGTTCACATGTAATTTGGCTTCAAATGTTGTAAAAAGTGAACTAACTAGAGCCCATTTGCAGGATGCAAGAGCTTAGGAATGGAGAAGAAATTTGTCTGGTTTTTCTAATGTCACCTGAAAGAGACTGAAACACCAAAAAGGCTTGCTACAAATGATCTTACATATTTAAATGGGCATGTTTAGATTTCTTAATGCTTACTTAAAATCCAGTTGTCATAATGCAGTTTTGAAACAGAGTTCTCCTGTAATCCCCTTTCAGTGATAATACAGATTTATCATGCAACAGAAACAGCACTAACCTGATTTGTGGGGTAAGATGGCATAAAACCACTAGAAACCTGTGCTGCAGCTCCACCCACTGGTGCAGTTATGTTTATTCCTATGACTGCCTGTCCAATATTAAGAGGCCTGGAGACAGGTGGTCCAGAGGGCATCACAGGCTGTTGACTCACTGTGGCAGGTAATGAAATTGGATATCCACTTAAAGTAGGGACAGGAGCAGTTGGAAATTGGTTTAAAACATCGGGACTCACTGCAGGTGCTCCTCTCTGCACAAGGAGAAAAAGAGATAGTGAAATACATTATACATTGCAAATTCCTATTCCCACCGTCTGTACTTTTATTTCTCAGCTCATTTATTTATTCATTGAAATGATGAAAAAGCAGGAACTCGGTCATTCTTCAATTCTGTGATCCAAGTTAACCTAAACATGTGATACACTGGAACTCACAGTTTACTGCTTGATCTCATATGGCTATACGGACTCACTAGATTCACTTACTAAAAACAACACAATTATATCTGAATGCTCAAAATTTATCCTTGGCTGGAGCTCACTGAACACGGTTAAGTGCTATGCAAATCTTCCTCACATAGCTCTAACAATGTACATCAGTGCCTATCTTGATTGTCCCATCTAGTCTTCTCCTCAATTTCTTTTGTGTCAACTCCCGAGCATAGTGACGTCTGCAAAATCTGAATGGTGGTTTTTGAGATTTCAGACAAGTTTCTGTTAAACTAGGAACAGTCACGACATTACCCTACAACCGGACACAAAAGTTAAAACCTAGACTACATAGGCAAAAATATGAATAAATTCTATCCAGGTTCCCAGATAATTTAGTGGGGGTGGGAGGGCCAGATATCACTTTCTAAATAGATAGTTATACCGCATAAAAAAAAAAAAAATCTAAAGCCAAATACAAACTTCAGTGAGTCCTGAAGAAAAAACAGTGATAGATGCAGAGAGCAACATCCTGGTTCCAGTGAAGTGAATGGGAGTTTTTCCAGGATTCATTCAGTGTATTCACTCAGTGAAAGTGAGCCAGGATGGGCTAGTACAGCATACCAAAAGGAAGCTGCCACCGGTACTGGCCAGCACATGGCTGTCATTAAGAAGCTCTTTAACATTCCTACCCTTTTGGGTCTTCCACGGTCAGGGTACAATAGCACTGCTGACAAGGGGGGTGCAAAAAAGGCAGCTGCCCTGGGCCCCCTTGATTTAACAGGGCCTGGGGCTCCTGCATGCCACTACCACAGCAGCCGTGGCCTGCGCCCTGACAGGAGCTCCAAACCCTTCAAATCACTGCCAGAGCCCCAGGGGTCTTGGCTGCTGTGGCAGCCAGGAAAGGCCTGCTAGGGGAGTCTCCAACCCTGCCCCTTCTGCCTGAGGCCCCACTCCTTTTGGGGCCCAGAGCTTGCACTTGCATATGCATGCACACCCCTAACCCAGGATCCCAGCCACCCACTAGTAAGTCCTGGTACTTATTTTCACCCCTGCATGTGGTATAATACAGATACACGTGTTCATGCACAACATACTGCAGGGACATTACAAAAGTCAGTGTATCAAGAGGAGGTTCAACCCTTTTCCATTCCCCCCAAAATCTCAGTGTCAGTCACTTGTACCTGAGTTACTGCTATCATAGCCAGGACACTATAAAGCTCTTCTTTTGTAAGTTTTCCAGGCGTGGTACGATTGGCTAAAGCCCATATTTGTCCAAGGGTCTCCCTGGGAAGTCCAGATGACATCAGAATGGGATAGAGTTTGGCAGTATCTATTCCAGTAGAAGTCATAGTGGTTTCTAAAATTTTCTTATACAAATCTATTGAGGGAAACACAATGTCAGAGGATGAAAAACAAACATTAAGTAATTTTACAATCGTATTTCTAGTCTAATTATAAAACTCTGTTAAGGGCTGTAATACTGTTGACATGGAACATTACCAATTTGATTAGGCATCAATGTTCTAGTTGTGTGTGCCAATTAAATTTCACCTAAATACAGCTTTTTATTCTGCCTGTACATTCAAATTCAGACAAGCAGGTGAAGGAGAAAAGAAATTCCTGAAGCAACTATGTAAGAGTCGTAAGGTACCAAGAAAAATGGAAAATGAATAAAGATGCTACATGCTGCAGCACAACTCTACCAATTAACTTGAGACCTGTCAAATGTATAATAGAGCAGCCATCACTCCAATCCCCAAAAAAGTTATAATCCGTTTTGAGATGGGGATTGGCAAAGACCAAATAAAATTCTACATGGGGGTAGTAATAATACACTGGATGTTTTCTTGGAAAGCTGGAGAAAGGATGGAAGGTTCTTCAACAAATAATAGCCATAATACAAGGACCAACAACTCTCTTATAAGGTTTGTCAGCAATAAAAGGATTACACCTAGTAGAAAATCTGAACTGAATTAATGACCAAATTCATCCACACATCTTCAGACTAGGACAGCTGTCAGATGAGTATAACATCAAACTAGTGTCATCAGCAACAACTTTTGCTGTCACAGCCCCATGTCCCAATCTTGTACCCTTCCCAGAGAAAGACAAAGAAGAATGAAAGAGACTGGAACATATGGGGGTTATTTCCCAGATAGACGAACTCACAGACTGGTGTGCAGAAATGGTTGTAGTAGCAAATAGGGATGTTAAATATCGGTTAACTGAATACTCGATTAACCTCATGAATTATTATTGGTTAGCTGACTATTCTATAGTCCCTGGGGGCGGGGAGGGGCTGGCAGCCAGTGTGCTCTGGCCCCTCTCCTGAGGAGCCTCTTGCCACTTCGGGGTGCCAGGTGGGAGCTGGTCCACGAGGGGAGCCAGTTTAAAAACTAGCTCCCCTTGCAGACTGGCTGCATGTCTCCCTGCGCTGTTGCCTCTGATACAGAGGCAGTAGTGCAAAATGGCAGCAGCCCCTGTCCAGGAGGAGGGCTGAGCTCTCAGACCCGGTGTGAACCAGAACTGAGCCGGACTGCCAGCCTGCCTGGCTCCTAATACACTTTAAATACAGAGCTGGTACAAGCCAGGACTGAGCTGGCCTGCTTGCCAGCCTGCTAAAAAATTTACTGGGGGCAGGAGAATGCGTATAGTCTATAGGTAAATTGACTAAACTATTACATCCCTAGTAGCAAAGCCCAATACAAAATCCAAACCTGTGTGGACTTTGCACTACTTGATAAAAGTGTGCTAAGAGAAAGATGGATGTTTCCTGCAGTTCACCAGCCATTAGCTCAATCAGAAGACAAAGTCTTCTCAAAGACAGACGCTACAGCAGGCTTCTGGGAAATCTCCCTTGCTAAAGAACGTATACCATTAATGACATTCATCCCCTCACCCCTATTTGGAAACTACTGTCTCAGTCATCTTCTGTTTGGCATAGAATCTCACCGAATGGGTCATGTTTGCCTGCCCTTCTTTGCTGGTATCAGGTAGAGATAAAAATCAACACAAGTGGCCACATGCAGTTTTCAGATGCTTCCCACAAACCAGCCTCACTCTGAATGAGAAATCTGAGTTTGAAGAAGAGCACCTAAAACTTGTACAACATACAAATAGTGAACAGAGAATTCAGAAAAACTAAAGGCATTCTGTCCTTAACGGTCACAATATACAGATGAGATAGCCCTCAACAAAACATTTAATAAAACAGAAGAATGACTGACATCTTTACCTGATTTGGTGCAATATATGGTAGACGTAGCTCCGGGCTACATCTACACTGCAAGGTTTTTATGCAAAAACATCTGTAAAACCTAGCACTCACAGTTATTATTTCGAAATAACCTGGCACTCACAGCAGGAGACAGTATCCAGTGCCCCAGCTGAGCAGTTGTCACAGTAAAAGAAAAGGATTTAGAGAGCGGACCAGAGTCTACATTGACCCTGATCTTGTAGTAATTCCAGCATCTGCTTGCCAAATTCAAGCAAATTAGAAATTAACTAACGGGTGAGTCTTTCCAGAAACGTACTCTACTCTGCCAAAGAGCATAGGTTGAAGAAGTCAACCTCCAATAGATTTATCACCACATCTGCAGGACCGACATTATCTTTACATGGCTGATGGCCTGATTCTGAACAGATAGTACATTCTGATGCTGACAGTATTTCAGAAAGAAATGTCCTCCAAACTTCATGTGACTCACCAAGATATAAACAAGTATAGGGCACAAGCACAATAATCCATATGGTGACCAGAGCTCAATAGGTAAATTCAGATCTTATTACAGGGCTGAGCAGGAAAATAAATGCTAGGACCACTACTCCCTGACAGACCTCAGTATCAGGTAGTCACATATTTCTTTAATACATTTACGTATTTGGTTACTTCTCCAGATATACTGACTTGGCCAGACTTACACAGACTTCATTGGCACAGGGAACCAGAAACTAAAGTCAATATTTGTAAAACCAAGAGTTCCTGAAGTCCTCTTACCTGCTACCTCCAGAGGGCCTCACTTTACCTCTGAAGCATTCCTAACATTTGCGTAGGATTTTGATTCTGATCATACTCAAAGTCTGCATTATCCTGCAGAGCAATGGAAAGGTGGAGAGAGCAGTGCAGACTTTAAAAAAGATTTCTTTAAAAAAAAAAAAATCAATAGCAATATATAAAACACTCCTGGCATTTCAGGAAGTGAGCCCTCTCCACAACGAACTCCATGCACAAACTCAACAAAAATGAGAAAATGGTCTGGAAAACCAACTAGATCCCTCAAAGAGCTAAGCATTAGAATATTCCACAGGGCTACTTAAAAGCAACTAACAGGGGACATAGTAGTATAAATTAGTTAAGGAAACGTGACGCGCTGTGAGTGAGAGAGAAATGGTTTACAATTTAAGTTTTAATCTTTTATTATAAAGAATGGGAGATGTGGAGTGATTATGGAGTTTCTGTACATTCAAATTCAGACAAGCAGGTGAAGGAGAAAAGAAATTCCTGAAGCAACTAAGTAAGAGTCGTAAGGTACCAAGAAAAATGGAAAATGAATAAAGATGCTACATGCTGCAGCACAACTCTACCAATTAACTTGAGACCTGTCAAAAGCATCCTCTAGTAGCCCTTGAAAGGAGAACACAACACACTGTATTAAACATGCTGCACGTAAATTGAGATAATTAGTAGCATCATTGTCTGAACTGATTTATTTTCTAACAAACAAAACTACATCAAAAACCATCTGGACAAAGCATCCTTTTCCCTTCAGTTTCAATACACAGTGCAATAAAACAATTTGCTTACAGAAGAGATTTTTCAGAAATGTAGGAGATTCTGCTCTACCAACTAACTGTGCTATTTCACACCACATTTTGGATGCAAGATTTCTGCCTATTTCTCCAACACTAAAGGAAACCACATATGCACAGCAGATTCTCTGTACCTAAATATAATGGAAGGCTTTCATTCTAAGACAGACACTGGCTTTATTAAACTGGATATCAGTTGATCAGTAAAACCAGCAATCCACACAAAACTAGTTCTCTTTATAAATTTCACTATGGATTTCTGTAATGAGGCCTCTAGATAATCCTTGTGTAAAGACAGCCAGAGCAGCATTATATATTTAAAACATAGAGCAATCTAATCAATATTTAGTACAGCACTTCATTTCTTGCTTACTATGCTTCTTGCATATATAAGGCAAATAACTTTAGGAAACGAGCCTGCTTAATTACAAGAGACACTGAAAGGAGACAGCTCACAAAAATGTGATACCAACAATGGCAATTTCTATTAGGATAATTTGCCATCATCATAACCTCTAGATTGAACATACACTATGCCTAAAGAAACTCCTGCCTTCTCTGAATGTGAATAAAGCTGAGAACAATACCTAAGGTATCCAAATCCATGTTCTGGAATGCTTGCCAACTTGTGCAAATTCCCTATTCATCTCTGAAACTAGGTAACGGATTAGCTAGGAATGCCATGGAATTCCCAGCCTGGGAGGTTCTGAACAGGTTAGGCAATACTTGTCAGGGATGACTTAAGTGTTCTTGTTCCTGCTCAGCACAGGGGGATGGGTTGGATGACCTACTAAGGTCTCTTCCATCCCTTCATGTCTAGGATTCTCCAAAGCTGTACATTGAACAGATAACTTAAGTCATTATTACTCCTGCTATACCACATCTAAGAAATAACACATATAGTTCAGACAACAGCACGGATAACCTAGTTTTCTCAGGAGTGAATAAAAAACTTAACATAAGAACTAGGAGTCACCAAACCAAATAGGTAAAACAAACTTTTTCTTCACATGGTGCATAGTCAATTTGGGGAACCCCTTGCCAGAGAACGCAGGATTCAAAAAAGAACTAGATAAATTCATGAAGGTTAGGTCCATCAATACTTATTAGCCAGGATGAGTAGTAGTGGCGTTCCTAGCCTGTTTGTCAGAGGCTGGGCATGGATGACAGGAGAGGGATCATTTGATGATTTCCTATTCTGTTCACTCCCTCTGGAGTATCTGGCATTGGCCACTGTAGGAAGACAGCATACTGGGCTAGATGGACCTTTGGTCTGATCTGGTATGGACATTCTTTTGTTAACTTGCTTTATAAATTAAATGATTGATCGAGAAATTCATGAACTTCACTTCCTGCTGCTACTCCAAGAAATGTTATTAGTCACCAGAAGTTTAATACTAAATTTAAGACACAAACACCAGTGACTAGAAGTATGATGGAAATGTCAGTGAATTACAGCTTAAAAGTTAAGCTTGTATTTAAACTTTGCACGCTGATATGCACTTGGGGAAGTGTAACTTTTTATAGCCACACTCGGTAATAACAGTGCAATGGCAGAGGACATGACAAGATGACCAGACAGATCTTTTTGTCTGTGTTGTGTAGGAGGTCTTAGAGATTCATCACGGTCCCTTCTGGTCTTAAAATCTGATCATGTATTTTCTGATTCCATGGTGAAACCTGACTGTGTGAACTATGCTGAGTAAGAACAAAGGGGACACTTACACATGAACTGGTATGCTACAATGTCAGAACCGCAGAATGTCTGACCAAAGCCAACATGAATTTGGAACAAACCCCATAATATTGGAAAGTTCCTGCACCAAACCTGAAAAAGTTTAGGGATGTGGAAAATTTGATTGTAGATAAAAAAACCTCTGATTTGGGGAAGAGGTAAAGGAACACTGTAGTCTAAGGATTGTTGTTTTAACAAAATGCTTTACCTGGAACCAAACTTTCATTGTAAATCCAAGGTGGCATCATTTGCTGGATTGGATCTTGGGAAGGAAATACTCCAACACCTAAAGATATGCAATATATTAAAAAAGGAGATGAGAATGCTATTAGAATGACAGAGATTCAAAACAGGAAAACATCTGAAACACAGTTTTTGGTATGTCAGCCAGCACTTTTCAGATATGGAAACATCCGGCTAAATGAGAAACACAAAACTGATACTGCTACAAAATGACCTGAAACAGCAAGAAAAATGCAATTAAATGCACATGATGAAATAAAGAGCCACTCATTTTCCTAATGTGTCAGTTTGATCTGGAATACAAGTCCCAACAATTCCAAACAAGTCATAAATAGCAGTGGTTCTGTCATGTCTATTTGCATAAAGTTGATGGGAATAACTTTAAGGCTACTTGGGGAATAATTTCATTTAAATCACACTAAAACAATTTTAGGACGGGTTCTCTGTGTTTCACAGGTAAATCCCTCATGGTAAAAGCTATTAATGTCCTGTCAGATGGCTTACCCCAGCTGACCCATCCTTACTTGCAGAAGAAATTCCTCTCACCTCCATATGACAGTAATTCAGCTCAAGGTGGGCAACACTGCTACTGTTGCCACTGCAGAACTCTAATGCATTCTGCCCTCTCTAGACCCCTGTAACTTCAATATTTCACTCCCCGGACTCGAATATTATGTTAATTTCCTCCCTTGATTTCAGCTTCATTTGGGACTTAAATATTCTGACAACTTTGACCCCTCTTCTATAATCTACCACCTTCAGATCTTGTCTGCCTTGCCACCTTTCCCGTTCTGTCCTTCTTCGTGATCAATAAAACCCACTTTTATTTTTGTTCTTTCTTATATCTTCCTACATTGACCATTACCTATTAACAGCAGAATACACTCTCCCATCACCTGACTATACTGAAAATGACCTTCATTTCCACTCTGAAGAACCCTAATCCTGCTAGGCTCTCCAACCTGGTCTGTTTGCTCCCTCTTTTGTAGGCAAACCTTCAACATTCCCCCGTCCTCAGCTTTCTCGTACCTCAAGTTCTACTTCGTTTACAGACCAGCTGTAGATTCCAGTGCATGTGAGCTGATGCACTGAGAATAGCAGTGATGAATGTCTCTCAATTGTTCTGGATCTCCAGACACTACAGGGATTCTCAGTAAGCCACAATGTTCCATTTCTATTTAACCTAATTCCAAAACTGCAAAGAACAGTCACTCTCCTCCTGCATACCAGCAGTTGTTCTCTCTGCCCAGTCAAATTGGAGCATTTGCTTTCTTCTCTTAATCTGTGATTGCCCTGGCTTGTAACTTTTCCATCACCCAACAGCTCATTATCAGGCATTCCATTTTTCTTCTTCCTCTAGACTAGGGGTGGGGAACCTCAGGCCCAGGTGCCAGATGTGGCCCTCGGCTTGCCTGGATCCGGCCCCTGAAGCTCAGGGACA